CCTGGGGGTGGGTTTAAGCACAGGTGACAGCTCACACACCCTACAGCAAACCCTACACCCCCCTAGCACTAGGCTCACAGCTTGGAGGCTGCTCCTCACAATTGCAAGAAATTCAAGGTTAACAAAATTTACAGGTTTTTGCATTAAAGAACATATTTTTGAGCACTCCTGCTTGAGCGGAAGAGCCTGGGAATGCAAGGTATGACCTTATAGCTCAGGAACCACAGGGCAAAAAGGGAAAGCCAAAGTGCACATTCAGAGAAAATTCTTAACAGCAATGCAAGAGCATGTGGGCTTTTGCTTTTTTTAAGCTGCTCTCTCAATTTTAGAGCAGTTGACAGCAGAAGTACTGCTGCTCTAAAAGAGATACTGGCTAAGCAGCTCCAAAGCCTCCAAGCACCAGAAGAGGAGACAACAGGACCCTCCCTGCTCTGAGCACACACCTGCAGGGCTGCCTCACTTTTCCATCTTGCAGCCGGTTCCATCTTGCCTCAGGCCTCCTTGCTCAGAGCTGATCTCTCTGAGTCCCAACTTTCTTCAGCCAAGCAGAGATGTTTCCTGCCTGCAGAAGCTCCAGTGCTCACTGGCACAGGGGGACTCCCTCTCCCCCCCCTCCCCTTTACCCCACAGAGACCAGCCCTGGAAGACCAGCCTCAGCCTCCTCCTCCCTCCCCTTCTTTAAGGCCTCTCAAGGCCCAGCTGTTTCTGCTCCCCCCTCCCCCCCCCAACCTCCTCCTCCTGCAGTTTTAAACCCCTTCTCTACCTGGGACAGCAGGACAGGACTGTAGAGAGATGTAGGGTTTGCAGAATGCAGCAGTTTTTCTTTTAACTCTTTCAGCACCAGGAGGCTGCCCCTTTCCTTGGGTCGCATAGAAGCTGCAGTCGGTCGGTTGTTCAGATAAGGTCCAAGGGGCAGTTAGTGGCAGAACTAAAGTGGACTCAAGCCAAGAGCTGAATCTTGGAAGGTCTGGGTCTGTATTTCCCTAAAGGTGGCAGCAGGCCTTGGCAAGGTATTTTTGGGCCTGTTCCATCTGCTTTTAATTGTGTTAAAGCCAAGGAGAGGAAATGGTTGCTGGAAGCCCTGTGGTAGGAAGAGGCAACAGTCCTCCATAGAAAGGAAGTTTTGCTTAGCAGAAATGCAGGCTGAAAGCTCTTGAGGACCCCTGCGGGCATTGGCTGACTGGTGGGGCCTGGTGGCTGCAGGATTCATGACAGAGCCACGTGGCATGGAGATGACAGCAGAGTCAACAAAGAGTTCGGCCACTTAGGGAACTGGCATCGGCAGTGCTTGAGATTTCATTGCAAGACTCACAATAATCAGTGTCCTTCTCAAAGCTCCAGCTCCTGGAGCCTAAGGATCAGGTAAAAATATTAGCTTTAATAGTATATGCCCTTCTGGAGCTTGTGGTTATGGAGACGCTTTGAAAACGTGAACCTGTCAGGCTACAAAGACAAAAAGCAGTTTAAAAGAAGCCCCAACTTTTTGCTCAAAGTCTTGCAGTATGCATGACCGACAGCTCAGTCTAGGCTTGGTGAATGGCTGTTTGATGCCAGAGGCACTCAGGTGCAGCTCCAGGCAAAGCAAACGCAGCTGTCCGGCAGCTAGAGCTGAGTTTCCCAGGACTTGAGGTCTAGTGGAAAATGGTGTCAGAGCAAGGCATGTTTGTGGCCTGGTGGGGGACCGTTGTTTGAAATACTTTTAATAGTTTTCTTTATTGTGACATGGAGCTATGTGGAAACTGAAATGCTTCCTGGAAACACCCTAGCTCTGACAAGTCTCTGGACTGCAAGGGTTTTTCATATGTCATCTCCCAGAATGGTGAATGCCTTCAGGCAGAGTCTGGGACAGCCAGAGCCAGTGCTGAGCCCTGCTACAGGCAGAGGAGGGGGCACAGAGCCGGGACCGTTTTCACTCTTTCCTTTCCAAGCAATCTCACCTCATTCTCTAGCCAAGCCTTACGCCACCTAACTCGCATAAGCATGATATCCCCTCTTAAGCACTCAAGCATGTGCACTGTTCATCCCTCCTGCTTTGTTAAGCTACTTGCCAGCAGCATGTGTAAGCGTACGCCTCCAGTCTGTTCTCATTTTGGGTTGTTTTGTACAGCAGAGCAGTTTTTGTCTCCTTGTCAGCAGATGGTGCTAGAAGAGTAAAGCCCTCTAGCTCTAGCTTGGGGACATAAAACGCTATCTGGTGTGATGTACCTTTCAAAGAGCTGGAGGTTTTGAGACAGACACCTGATATCTGGGAGCTGGATGAATACCACCAGCTGATTTCATCCAGGCTGCTGAATGTGGCTTCCTGCCTTCTGGAGTGATGAGGACGTGACCTTCTCTGCACTTCTCCTGGCAGTATTAGTTCTTTTAATTGCCACACACATCTCTAAGGCCACAGTCATGGCGCTTCTCTTGGCCTGGCCCTGACATTTAAGATGTATACTTCATGGTGTCTCAGGAAGAAATGACTTACTGTTTCTCAGTATTGTTTTCTCCAGCCTTGCTCTGTCTCTTGTCCTCAAAGCTTCTCTATATTCGTCAGGTGGATAGGAAGTTGTTTTCTGCATGCAAAGTTATATTTTCACAGTGTGACTATTCAGAATTAACCCTGGGAACAGATTTAGTCATCAGTGTATTAAGTCAGTGGCAGGGGGAAGGAGAAGCAATGAACTCTTAAGGTTTAGTGTGTTCCTGTCAGACCTGTGGAGTCAATGCAACCTTTACCTTCCAATGAGGCTGAGATTGTGACAAGCTTAGGCATTGCCCAGGTATGCTGAGGATGGGCAGCTGAGGAGCCCGTGGCAATAGAGTCCTGTGGAACTGCCCGAGGCGCTCACCCTGGAGGGCCTGCCAGCTGGTGATGAAGTCTGCTAGCTGGACCTGGGGTGGTTCAGCTGTGCCAGCAACAGCCCCGCTGTGAGTAGGGAGGATGGGTGGTCCTCACAGGTTAATGCCTGGGACAGGCCCATAGTGTGGGGGAGACTTCCTCTAGCTCCTGTGGTACCTTGGGGTTGAAGAGCTCGCATACAGCATGGTGGTGGGCAGTAGAAGATAACCACACTGTTATTCCATGTCTTTTCCCTCCCATAAATCTGCACATCACGACACCTGAACTGCAGCTTATACACAGCCTTGGAAGGTGTTGCAGATTCAAGGCTATCATAGGTTAGCAAAGGGCTTGCTGATTCTGCTGTCCTTAAGGCTTGTGTAGCTTAAAGGTCTGCACAGCCTGGGGTGAAAGAATCTGGCTTGAGACTCTGGGACTGAAAGACATTTGCAGCTCTGGCTGTTAGAAGACAGCTTTGCTTCCCCTTGGAAGGGAATAGTTGATCTGAGTCTCTGAAAGCCAATAAACAGGGAGCCACAGAACATTTTTTTAAATAACTGCTTTTCAGAGCAGACCAACATACTGAGTAATGATGTGAGATGAAAGTCAAGGATTTTAACTCGTGAGCTTAATCACAGGCAAGTTTTTTATGACATTTTAGATGATCTGTCTTTTCCAGCTCCTATCTTAGCCTTCCAGTGGCAGTGAAGGAAGAATCAGTACTGCAGCAAGCTCAGAGTCCTTCTAACCTCTGACAGTGACTTAGTAGCATAACACTTATCACCCCACTATGACTGATAAACTCCTGAAAAACCAGAACTAGCTGAAGGGTCTGGAAGAAAGGTGCTATTGGGAAACCCTCAGCCAGATGTGCCCTGCTTAATCACTGATGTGCCTAACCAACTCACTGAAATCAGTTTTTCCATCGACTTCAGGCCTCAGGCTGTCACCTTCGTTTTTCTATATCTTACTGTGCTTTCACTACAGGGGTTGGTGGCTGCAGATTTGTGACAATTTACAAGTAGAAGCAGCACCATGACCCTGAAAACTAGCCTTTGGGGGTTTGATGTAGGCTATGGCCATGAGAGGAGTTTGATTTGAGCTGATGTGCTGGCATACTGTCCCCCTCCTGTCCTCTCCTCTTTAGAAGACAAACACAAGTCAAACTCCCAAGTCAAATTGTGGCCATGACTGGGCCCCTGCCTGTTCTATAGAATTAAATCAGGAGACAGAGCAAAAGCACAAATTTGTAAGCAATAGAAATACAAAGGCACTGGATGGTGAAATATCAGGGAAGTCAGAATCTGTTTGCAGTCGACTCCTTTGAAGTCTTCTGTATTTGCCTTGAGGGAGAAAATACTTTGTGCTAATCAAGCACTTTTCAAGACATTTTACAAACATGAAAACTCACAGCACCCCCGTGACATAGGTCAGCATTAATATCTCCAATGTAATCAGATAGATTGAGTCATGTTCCGCACAGTGAATCAGCATCAATCTGTGTGGAGTCCAGGGAGGTCCCTTGCTCAATCACTATACCAAATGCCTTAATTTTCTTTCTAAGCAATCATCAAGAAAGCCAGTATTCTGCATCGCTTTTATTTTATTATGCCTCTGGCCCTGCCCCCCCCCCCCC